TCTACACCCAGAAGGTGTACTGAGAAATAATTCTGTTTACATTTAATTAACTGTAATTGTCCTTTGGTTCCAAAATTAGTCTGACAATAGCCGTTCTTTATTTAAACAAAACTGCTCTATACACATGTGGGTAAGACCATTAAGGTGGTAACAGAACACCTAGGGTAAATTCCCAGTCATTGGAAAAAAAATGTTTTGCCAATGATTTCAAGAGGACGGGCATTTAGTCTTCTACCATATAGGACAACAGATAATGAGGCTTTTTTTTAAGTATTCTGGCTCATGTCTGTTCTCTTGTAGACTTTTTTTCTGATGAGTTTGCTGCCTGTCACAGAAAAACCTAAGCTGATTCTTACTAAAATAATAATAATTTAAAAACCTTATAACTTTATAGCATGTGCTTCCTTTAAAAGAAGATAATGTGTTTACCATCTCTGTGCTTCCTCATCTTGCTTCGGCTTCATCACCTTGGCTTATCTCTCATGCATCCTGGTATTTGCAAGTTCAGTAGTTTACACTGAAAAAAGTATAGTCAAAATATTTTTTCATTACGCAGAGAGAATTTAACATGTGTTCTGTATTTATATCTTTTCCTGCAACCAGAAACAAGGACAAATGAACTTATATCCTTTGGCGCTTCACTGATATAAAAATATACCATCTCACTTCTGAAAAACAGTTCAGTTGAGTCATTTTCTGAATGACTTTCACACAAATGAGAGCATGTGTTCCTGATGTAAAACCCAGATGCACAAGTCATCTCTCATTGATGAGAATGCAAGACTAGCCAAAGTCTAAGCCTCAGGGAGCAGAGCAGTGCTGTGTAAAACATGGACAAATAATACAGGATTACAGTAACTACATTTATGCTAGAATTATACTAGTGAATTTCGAATTTCTAGTAACTTGAGGCATGATCTAGATGCTAGATAGACCCAAACTTGTAGAGGCTTAGGAGACTCACAAACAGTCGGCCCAAAACCTGACCAGCTACTACAGCTTTTGCCGTATTTCTGCTGTTGATAAACTCATCGCTTCTAATTACGAAATCATTAAAGAGCTGTGCTTCTCAGCAAAGTATATGCAAAGAAATAGAACCTTTTCATGCTGCATACCTGCTCCCTGCACTCGGAGCACCCATGCCCTCTATAGAGAATCATTGCAAAAAGCTGTGGACAGTCAGTACAACTAAGATGCTGTTTCTTATACATCAAATCCCAACTCCGCCTCACCAGCATCACAGGTAAAATTCCTATCAATGCAACAAGGGATTAAATTTCTCAAATTTAGAGTGTCACTTCTAGGAAAATCCATTGACATGCTAGGGGTATTGCTGAGGAAGTAGCTGAAGGCAATGATGACATGTGGGTCGATGGCCTGATGTGAGTAATTTGAAGGTGATTAGTTCCTCAGGTGTCCCTCAGTGGGCATCCTGGCCTGCAGAATCTGTCTCAAGCAATGAGGGACCAGCACAGCCTTGGCCGTCAGCTCCGAAACTGAATAGAGGATTGATAGTTTAAAATACAATAATAACAACAATTAATGAAATAGGTGCTGAAGAGCAATAACCGCACAGGGCTATTTAATTCAGTTATAGTCTTTTTGGCATGTTAGTAAATAAATAAGAATACCGTGTGTTTTGATTATTTCCATCTTTTGGCATTTTAGAAGCAAACAGCAAACAACTGTCCTCTGAATTACTACTACTTCCATCGTTCCTGGGGAAATGATGCTGTTTTCCTAAGTAGCTCCTGACTTTGACTGCCTGATGTTCAGGAGCAGGCATTTTGTGTATTTTTTGGCAATTAAAACTTGAGTTCCAGGTTCTCAGTCCATCCAACAGTCAGATCCCAGAAGTCTCTATCTAGAGGATACTTTGGCTTACGTTAATTATCAGTAAAACCTATAGCGAAGCCACAGGCCTAAAGCTCTTACCTGAAAGAAGGTGAAAGGAGAAAAGGTGGATACTTTTTCATCTTCATTCTGCTTTATTATTGTGGCTGCAGGGAAGAGCAAACTCTACATTTGTCCTGGCTATGCTATTCTTTCTTTTTTTCTTTTTTACATCATCTCTTTTACGGCTAATGTTCACCATCTTTCTCATATCTGTGAACTTTCTACTAATTGTTATTTCTCATTTATCAGCACAGATCCTGACTGAATCCATCCCATAGATTCACTAATATCAATTTTCCCTTCCCTTGGCATGTTATTTACGTGAATATTTGGGATTTACTAGTTGCAGAACATGCCCAGAAAGCACAAAATACCCAGAGAGGTATAAAATATCAGGGTGTCTGAGAAGTAGAAGCCATTTTCTTCTAGTCAAAGACCACAATTTCTACATAGGCAGCTTACAGCCTCTTTGAGGAGCAGAAGAAAAAGAATGTTCATGATAGAAGTAATGAGGGAGGGATCACCATCTCACTGCTTTATGAAGACAATGAAAAGAGAGGAATACTGTAATGTGATTTCCTTTTCTCGTGACTATCCTAAAGCTACGACTACCACAGAGCTAATGAGCTATAAAAGCTCATGCTACTGATTTGAAAAAAAAAAAAACCTCCACAACCAAAAATTAAAATAAAAAAGAGAAAAAAGTTTATTCTAGAGTTCATTTGCAGTTAGGTGACCTTACATACTTCTTCCTAAAATGCTAATCTCTATTTTATTTATTTGCATTAAAGAGATTTCAAAAATTCCTCTTCAGCCGTGTCTCATCATGTCATAATTATTCATCTTCATGAAAGCTTGTAACAGCCTCTGGTTACAACATAGTGACATTTGCTAATAAATTATAAAGTGAAAGGATAATTAAGTCCCTATTCCCAATTAATCTTTGGCTTCTTAGTTAAACTTAGTTCCAAAAAAAACCTGTCCACTAGTCTACAGGGAGCTAGACTCCAATAATCAGTTCACCTCACTTTGCCCAGGAAACAATAAGCAGATCTAAATGTTTTCTAGTTCCTAGCAAACAGAACAAGCCTTAAAGAACATTTGGAAAGGGAATCTGAAGTATTTACTTTGAACTCTCTGCTCTTCTTGAATGGGAGAGCGGACCAAGGAATGCATTAGCATCTTCAAACAGAGACAAAAGAAAAGTTGTAATGAGAACATGTTTATATATTTTTGCCTCAGGCTTGCTTTGGAGCAGACTCTCATGTATTTTGTACCGACCTTTAACTAATGCCTACTGAGATAGATAGAAAGAGTCCATTGACTTCATGGCTGTTGGTTTGCATACTAAGGTCAGGAGGCACCATTTTATATAAACAGCAGGGAAAACCAACAGAAACTTTTGGACCTGTTACAGTATAGTAACTAGATTAATTTTTTAATTGTAGGTGTACCAGGACCAGAAGTAGGTATCGTTATGGAAAATCCAGTTTTGTGGAGACTAGTCTAATTTGGATCAATCACTTATAAGAGCAAATCTTGTTTCGTGTTCAAACTCAGGTAACTGCAGCATCTACAAACATGTGTTCTGTCTCATGCAGACGAGGTCAGAGAGATCTTTTAGGTGTCAAGGGGGAAAGTTCTCACATTTCTGGAATGGTAGAGGGAAGATTTATAAAGTTCTTACTGGCCTGAAGGAAAGAAAGAAAGCAGAAACATCTGCCAGAGTCATGAGTGGATTGTTGGCTAAATTCATTCAGCAGGGGGAGTCTGAAACAGATCATCTCTGCCTTCAGCAGTAGGCGTTAGCGGAGTCATCAAGAATAGTTATTACAGAGGAGCCCAGGACATCCCTATAGGGAATAAAACCAATCTGAAAATGTAAAATAATTCAACAAAACATGGCTAGAGAAGCCAGCGGTTCTTACTCTCTTGGGCTCACAGAATGTACAAAGCTCTTATGAAACAAGAATAGAAACACTTTTGATTTGAACCTGGAATAGTACTTAAGAACATGCCAAGTAGTGGAGGTAAAATCACAGATATCATAGGTGGATATAGATCCTCCTATGGGCTGTGCTGCCCAAAACTTCTGCAGTTAAAATATCTACCCAAGGATACAGGCATGGACTTCAAACACTGGTACTGCTTGTGATGTTTTTAATGTTGTGTTCTAGATGGAAAACTCAACTGTGCTAAGAGTAGCACACGTAAGGAAAAAAAAAATGATTCAAACAGTTGAATAGCAGCAACAGAGTTACAAGTTAAAACAACTCTCTGCTTTTTAGGTTTTGAACAAGATCAAAAGGAGACTTTGCAGTTCCCAGGATGAACTGTCACTAGTGTGTTTGTGCGAGCCACTTGGCACTAGCCTATAAACAACCTACAGAACACCATAGGAACGGTGACGTGTCCATTTCCCACAACAGTTCTTTTTTTCTCCTCATAAACAAACCCAAGGCTGCGCATATTCTTCAGAGCCGCGGCCTCTCCTCAGGAGCTCACATGAAAGCACTGTGACTGTGTTTTGCATTAGCTTGCTTCTAATGCCAAAACTGCCTCCAGATTCCCAAAGCACACACTGTAAAACCCTCTCCTGGCAGCAGTGCGAGCAAGGTCCCAGGCAGCCCATGGCTAGAGGCTAGCTCCAGGTGCGTGGAGGCCTGGGGCACAGAATCGGACGCTGGGGTGGGAAGACCTCTCTGATGTATCTTACTGATGGCAAGCATTCCTAAATACGTGCTTTGCTGGGGAACATGGAAAAGGTTCTCTGTTAACCCAAGGGTGTGCTCAGTGAGTCTGCATTCAAGCAGTTCGAGCAACTGGGATAGACTACACCCACAGCCAGAGCTGCTTGTTTAAATTTGCGTGTTAAAACCCCAGCCCTTTGACTACATTAACAAGTTTTCAGTTAAACTGATCAGGCCCCAAACACGTGTAATTCTTCAGGGCTGTGGAAAAATAATTTATCCCATTTTAATGGTGGTTAAACTCTCAAATCAAATGTTACATGAAAATATTTTTAATTCCTCCCCCTCTTTTGGGGGGCTGTTCCTATACCATCCCTTCATTGCTACTATTACAGGGAACTATTTTACCTTGAAAATGGCAGGAAATGGTGACTGGTCTTATATAAAGTACTTTGGAGCATGAAAGGTGTTCAAAATTACTTTTTGCAGTCTATGCATCCTCTGGTCTCACATGAGGTCAGCTATGAACATATCTAAAGGTAAAGATAGTAGCATGCAAAATAAATAATGATAAACACCACCAGCTTCCGGTAGCAATTTTTGCAAGAAAAATCCATTGTGCCAATTATGCAAACTTACATTCTATTTTTCTTCATTCTGATCTTTGCAAAATCTCCTACTTGGCCTTTCTTCTTCTGTGAATAGTAGTATCTTTCCGTGAGAAAACAGTATTCTGTGTGAGATTGTAGGTATGAATGACAGGTGTGTATGTTACATGAATCTATGCCCCCCTTTCCCATTCCCCAAGGTGCTTGTCATCATTTTTCCAACAGAAATTACTGAGAACTCAGATACGCTGTCAAAGTCACATGCATTTTCTTCCTCACCTACTTTTCTCTGAACTTTCTAGGTTCAAAATCCCTACTATTAGATACTGAAGCTTCCAGGGATCATTTTGACTGAATTAGATCAGGGAATAACTGCATTTTAAATTATCCTAGTGTGTTAGAAGGGGCTAATTTCCACTAATTTACAGCAACACACATGGAATTGGGAGAGCATGTGGGGCCACGTAGTAATGAGCCACCAGAACTCAGGATGGAGAGAGTAACCTGTTAATAAACTGAGCTTTATCCAAAACAGACCTGTTTCCTTACATTTGAGTTGACCTCAGTAGCCAAGAGAGAATCCTGCGGCAGCGCTGGTAGTCTGAACCTTAGTTTCTTCTCTGCCAGGCAGAACCTTCTGAAGCATGGAAAATTCCAATATCATGTTGCATAAATTGTATACGTATTCCAAACAGTCCATATTTTCACAGATAAAGCAAAAAGGTGACCACACAGAACTGAACAGAGAAAGATTCTAAAACTATGAAAAATAGAAAAAAATTTTCTAAACCTATGTTCTAACAAGGCTGGGACTACTCTTTAGCTTAGCTTTTTGAGGGAAGGTCAGGCACGTTTCTGTGTCAAAAATCTTTCTACTGTCATAGTCTATAGTCTTCCAACTGAGTCTTTAAATTTGCTACACAGGCATAAAATGCTAGACAGCTCAACATTAAGTAAGAAAACTAACCTTCTTTTCTTGTTAGGAGTATTTACTGTCTTCTCATCACTGTGCTTCAAACTGCTTAATTTGCCATTGTGTGTTTTGTGTGTTTTTACAGTAGTTACCAAAAAGGAGTTATAGCTATTTGAAATATGGATCTCAACTCTGGTGAGTGAGCAAGGTCTGAAGACATCTGGGATATTATTTCAAAGGGAGGCTGGAATATATCTGCACGGTACAATACATTACTGTGCAAGAAGCCAGGACAACTCCAGATAGACTAGTTTTGATACCAGAAATATGCAGAAGTAGCCTTAGTTCAGGTCCCAGAGGGAGTATAGCCATGCCAGCACAGCGTGTCGGTTAAGCTAATACACCCTACCGCTTAGCAAAGGCAGTCTGCAGGGGCACAGAGCTACAGCAACTTGGGGCTGTCACTTCTAGCACGGAGACTGCTTTGGGCCTCTGTACGTGAAACTGTGCAGACATGTCCTGTGCCCAGGTGGCTTGGCAAGAATCTAGGGTTGTAAAAGCACGCTTTCTTTGCCTTACTCACAGCCTGTCTTAATGACTTGGTAAAACACAAATTTAAAGGGCAGAGTAAGCATTCCACTACTGCCACCCAGACTTTCTTCAGGAAAACAGCCATACAGGAAGTTTCATGTGTTCACATCTCAGGGAGCAGAACTTACTCTCTGAGAGGAAGCTGGGAAGAAAATAGCTAAGAATATAAGTATTTCCAGCTCATATTACATTTAAGTTTCTGATTCTAACACTATAGTCACCTAAGACCTAGTTCCTTTGGAAAAGTTCCGTCCGTTTTGATAAGAACAGGATTTGAAACTCGGCTGTGGTGAGAAAATGATAAAAAGTTACAAATCTGTTTTAAAAGCTTTCAGATTCACTTCCCTTCTGGCTTGAGCTGGAGTTTGAGGGTGGAAGAGAGAGAAAAATAGCTCCTGTAATTGAGCTCCTCAGAGTAGGACTTAAAACTATGTCCTGCCTACTCCCAGCAGCTGGGTAGGACAAGCTTTCACTGTTCCTCAGGGAAAAGAGTGGGGGTGATCAGGAAGCTAGAAGCCATCCTGAATTATTAAGAAAAGTTGTTTTGGGGGCGAGGGGGGAGGAGAGAGGAAGGAGCAGACTGCAACCACTTGGCCAGGTCCAGAGAAATGCCCAAAATCTGAAGTATGGAATCTCATTTTCGTCTGTTGGCACAGAAGTTTAAAAAGAAAAGTTGGGATTTGAGGGAGGTGAAAGGTTAAATCAAAGTGGGTAAACAGCTCTAGCAGTGAGGAGGCCTCGAGAACAAGTCTCTCCATCGGAGGTCCAGCAGAAATGGACCATGGGGAGAAACAGGTGCAGGCACACTGATGACCAGAGCAGAGGAGATTGCAAAGTCTGTTTCAGGCACACAGACATCACCTTTCAGGCACACAGACATCACCTACAGGGAAAAAGAAAGGTATTCAAACTCCAGAAACTGGAAGGTAGTCTATGGAGGTCCATGGAGAGAAAATGGTCAACTCACTTAACTTGTCTTAATCTCTGCCAGTCACGGCTATGAAGGTATAGACCTTCTTCGCACTGGTGTCAGCTTCCAAGTTGAGTCTGCTATACCACCTTCCCACAGGCTAGCTCCAAACAGAAAACCATTACCAAATAATCTCTCTCTGATCAGAGCATCCACTCTAAAAGCAAAAACGCTTCTGTGTTAATAAAGAAACTAGCAAGCTATTCTAATTATGCATGTCTAATACAAGGGGAAAATGCAGCTGCCTTTAATTCATTATATAAAACTGAGGATCAAAAGCCATATGTCTGACCTGAGCTTCCTGCTCGAAGGGATAGCTGAAAGTTTGTTCTGCAAGCTAAAACTGGAAACTCTACCGAGTGGCTCTGCTGAAGCACTGTTTTACCACAGTCTCTTTGGAGATGCACAGTTCCAGGGGGACCTTCTCTCACTGAACAGGGAGCAAAGGCAGCTACAAGTGTGTCAGAATATCTTTCTCCCTGACACACTAGGGAAAAAAGTCTATGAAATGAACAGAAGGCCCGGAGGGACTTTCCTGCGATATAAAAGATAAATGCAGAGAGTCAGATCAATAAAACTGAAGTAGGCCAATAAGCTGCTCTACATTTTAACAGCCCTTACCCAAACAAGACTATTTAATTTGGATAGTTTGCCCTCAGAAGGGCAATAGTTTAATTACATTGCATAAACAGGAACCTAACTAAAGTTACCTCAGCAATGTGGAGATACTGTTTAAATAACGCACTCAAGCAACATGAATGCTCTTAAAATGGTACCCTTTATTTTCACAAAGGAGATCCTTCGGTCACCACTAGAGAGATGAGAGGTAAAAGACATAGCCCTTTACCCACAGAGTCTGCTTCCTCGCCCTTCATAAAGCAATTGTATCACTTTCAATACTTTGGCATATTCTCAGGATTTTTTCTTCTAGCAGTACAGCGAGATCAGGCTACAGGAAGAAGAGCACTGTGTTAATACCACATTTTTTTAAGAACTATTTTTATTGTTCCTGATTTATTTCTAACCTCCCGATTTTTTTCTGCTTGACCTTTTACTTGAAGACAGGGAAAGCAGTACATTTCATCTGCCAGTTGAGTGTATTTTCTTTTCTTCACTCACAGAATTATAGGGTTTTAGGTGAATGTCAGCTATTCTGCCTGCAGGCTTTCACTTCTCAGAAAAAGTATGCCTAGCCGTTTCATTCCTGACTAGTAATACCTTTTGTTAGGAAAGGGAATGTTTACCAAGTAAAAACAGCATAGTTCCTCGGGGTTTTGCTGAATGAAAATGTTTTGGAAGTTAGTTTACCCCGAGAGTCAAAATCGGTGACATACAATGAAGTATTTTCTTAGTGCAATTAGCTTGTTTACCAAACCTGCACATTTCCTGTTCCTTTGAACCATGACAATGAATGGCACACAAGCAACTCCCTACATACAGGTCAACATCTTTGCCTTGTATCCAGAAACTGCTGTCCTGTTTCTCTTCCCCTTACCACCAACTCACTGTATGGGTCCAAGTTTGCAGTCAGATGCAGAAAATTGTGTGGTGATTATATCCAGGTCCTGAATCAGAGAGAGATACAAGGATGCTCAGATTTGGGAACCTCATCACTGTATTAGCACCAGGGCTAAGTTAGTATCCTCACACTTAGGAAAGTTGAGAACGTCACCCTCCCCTTTCCTCCTCTACTTGCTCTCAGGGTTCTCTCAACTATCTGCCCTCAGCCCTGTTCCTTCCCTAGTCCTCCTGCTTTTTACACTTATATCCAAAGGATCTGGAAAGAGGGGAACACCAGGTGAATAATAGGAAGCATGTTGTAAGCTGATATGGGTGTTGCACAGAAGCAAATAATTCCAGGTCCCACCAGCCTCAAAGAAGGCTGTTGACTCTGGAAAGACTGAGGCAAAGCTGAACAGGTCATAGCACAGACTTTTCCTTTCTATTCCCATTTTAACAAGACACTTGCAGTCCCTACCTCAGTACCACTTCTGCTTCCATGGCCTCTGTTCTGGTAGCTCAGCAAGATGAGGGCAGAAGCAGTCTATCTATTTGTCTACTGCCTACATAGGTTAAAGAGGTGGAACCCTATTCCCGCAGTCCTGCAGTACAGAGGGGTAAAAAGCAGCAATGGCATTGGCTAGGGACAGGGAGGTCCTCCCCACAGTTACAAGTTGTTCCTGGGTCTCCCCATGCCAAGTACTTGGTGCCCAGGGGCCTTGAAGACAGAGAGGAGAGAGGGATGTACCAGGGAAGGTGCTGGGTGCAGGAGATTTGCCAGCGGAGCTGAAGCTCCTCCTTAGGACTCCATGGATTTGTCATTAGGGCTCAGGATACTGCAGTGCCAGGCAGGGGTAGGCAGCATGGTGTTGTGTGGTTCTTGGGCAAGAGGGAGAGAGGATTCCGGGCTTCCTCCTGTTTCTAGAGCCCAGGGAGAACTACCCTGGCTTCTCCCTCACTGATTTCTAGCATGGGCGTAGATATTCCTTAATCTGTCTTAGCAGCTTCCTATCGGTAGCTTGCACATGTCCTGCTGGCCAGAATGCAGGCAGATCTAGCAGGTCTGCACCTAACAGTAATAACGTGGCTAAGGTCGCATCTGTTGTGAGGCACACTTTTCCTGTCTGTGTCATGCCAGAGGACCCATATGAATATATTTAGCTGTCAGATGAAGGATAATACCTTACACCATCCTAGTTACTCTTTGATTAAAATGACTGGAAGGCCTCTTCTCTGTCTGTGAGCAGCTTCATCCAGGTTTCTTCCAAGCTGAGCCCTGCTGTGTGCAAGCCATTAACACCGCCTGCCAAAAAGATAAAGTTTCCAGTTAGTCTTTAGAAATAGCTGCTATGATTTTCCTACTGGCACAACTGTAACAACAGGAAATGAAGTCTCAGTTAAATTAACTTATCTACTATCTATAGAATGATAAAACTTGCTTTATAACAACTCTGAATGTCTCCTGTTTTCCCCATTATCAAATGCTAAACAATGCTTTTCTTCACTCAAAATAAGTCATTGAACTCTCAAATTGGCAGTCCTGTGTAGGAGACTTAATTATTCTTTGTTATATGGACTTCAAACATTAGACTTTTATTTCTGCTATTAAGAGTTGTACTTAAAAATATTTCCCACTAAATTTCTGTTTTTCAAAACTTAGACTGGAGGGACTGTCGAGTTCGCCTGTTCTGTTCACGTGCTGTGTGCTGGTACTAGAATGCCTTTTGCTGTCTCAGCTATGCAGAGAAATTGTGTCCTTTAAACAGCCAGTACAGCATAGTCCCATCTTCTCCGTGTATAGACATAGTACTCCTGGTATAAAGGTGCCATATAACAGTATAGTTAAGAACATAAGAAAAGCCATAGTGGGTCAAACTAGAAGAACATTTGGCATAATGCCTGTCTCTGGCAGTGGCTAATAATAGATGCCAAGGAGGAGTAAAAGACCATGGCAAGCTCAAACTGACATTCTGCAAGATTTCTTACCCAGTTTCCAGGGGTCTGTGTATGAGAGACTCCTCGAACCAGGTCTGCGATCTTTGTGCCTGTTAATCCTCAATAGATTTTTCATGCATGAATTTACACAGTCAGTTTCTGAACCTCCGAAAACTTTTGACACCCACAAGAGGCTGTGGACAAGGGTTCCGCAGGTTCTTCACCCACTTTGTGAAGAAGTATGCCACTTCATTTGCTTTGAACCTGCCATCTGGTGGTTTCACAGCATACTCACCTGTTCTGGAAATGGAAGCAACAAAGAATAACTCTTTCATATTGACTTTTTCCTTCCTACTCTGAATTTTATTGACACCTATTGTAACCCTCCTCACCCACCTTTTTTTTTCCCATACTGCAAAATCATAGCCTATTGTTTTTGGTAAAAAAATCTCCTAAGGAAAGGAATAGGCACCTTTCCACTAATATTGCACTGAAACACATGCTGCATTAATTATTTTACCAGAAAAATCCCATTTCTCAGGTTATTAGTTAGTGGCAGCTACTTTGCACTAACTGCTTATTTATGTGCTACTTCTCTATGGTAAGTACTCGGTATGTTATCCTTCAGAGAAAATGAATCATCACTGAAACAGGGATAAAATTTATCCTGTCGTAAGAGCATGCACCCAGGCAGGTACTGAGGAGCAACCCACACTGTAAATTCACATCTTACTTTGCCCCTCAATATCTAGCTTGACAGTCCGAATGCAGACTTAGTTAAACGGAAAGGGCCTCACTTAGAGACGGTGTGGTATGCTTTGGTCAGGCAGCCCACTGACATCCCACCATCCCAAACCACCTCAAGCATGTCCTGCCCCAGCCTCTGCCTTGTCTCCCCTGAGCCACAGACCACCACGCAGGCTGGCAGGTAACCCCTTCCTCCCCACCCGCTGACGCTTCACAACCAGATGTCCCTGCCCTCCTCTGCATACTGGCTGCCTGCGCTTCTTTCCACCCCACACTCTAACCAGACCATACTGAAAGACCAGCACCCCCTGCCAGGTGCTATAAACTCTGGGAGAATACCAGACCCTAATTGAAGGTCTTAATATTTACGGTTGGTTTATCTTCACTTCAGCTATTACAGTCTGGCACTGGTAAAACCAAAGTGTCGCGCTGGGCTGGTGCAGATGTAGCTATACTAGCTACCACTCTATACCACTGTGTTCTGGTCCTGTTATGAAATAATAGGAATGACCGTGAAACTCAGTACACTTGCATCTTTGTACAGTCTTATAACTTGAACCAGCTTAACTCTTTCAATGATATGTCAGCCCCTTAACTAGGTCAGAAAATTTGGTGTATGTCTGAGTAACGAGTTTCTCAAAAGGATTGTAGTGCTCAGCATTTAACTTTACAAGCAGTATGCGCTGACCTTGTACGGTTAGAAACAAAATGCTCCATTTGCTGTTTGGAATGCAAGCTAATACGCTGAAAATACTCTAATTGGAAGAAAAAGAGGGAATATGACAGAGCTTTGAGGAAAGGTGAAGCCAGGCTTCCTAGAATAAACAAACATTTCTCAGGTGTCACCCGGACTGGTTTGCTAACAACAAAAGCTATAGCTCCTAATTGTCCTTATTTATATATACCAGAATCTTGACTGAGATCAGATAAAACCTTTCCTCCTGATCATACGCTTCATGGAGTTCTGGAGTAAACAGTTGGAAGATAACTGCATGGCAAATAAAACCCACTTTTGCAATTCTTTTGCAGATTACATTTCTTTCTATTGAAATGTAAACACTTTTGTATGAGATGCTGAAAAGAAGGACCAGTATTTTCACTCTTTATGAGCCACAAGGGTTAATTCATTTATTTATTTATGAGGAGTTACTGGATCACTGTCCCTCTTAGTATAAGCCTTTTGATTGGTCATTAACACATCTATCTAAAAACTGTTTTGCCTATTTTCTGCTTGTATCGACCTGACCATTCACATTCCATTTCTTCCACTACCTTCTCTCTTTCATAGGAGGCTAAAACAAATGACTTTAGCAGTCATCTACAACATTACAGAAAAGTAGCAATACTGAATGAAAACTACATACAGATAGGAGACTAATGCTATGAAATTCCTGAGAGGAAGTAAACCCGTATGATCTTTAGGTATGATCCCTGCTCATTTAATTAGAGTAAAAGAACCACCCCCAGCTTCCTTTTTCTGCTCTGATGAACAAAAAATTCAGTGATCTCATCACTGATGGCCATCAGAAAGTGTTTCTCCTTGAATCCTAAATAAAGTGGACTTTGCCAGTCACCCAAATAGACTTCAAATAGATTCCTAATGTTGTTTTTGAATGTTTTCTGATGTTGTAATAGCCTCAGCCAAGAGTCTCTGTCTTTGAATGTGTCTTTTTGAAGGTTTACATAATGGATTTACTGCAGCTATTACATTTTTTGGCTAGTTTATCAAGCAACGTTCAATCATGTAGTCTGTAAGTCACGTGGTAAATCCAGAAAAGCACTTCTTACAGAAATAAACCTATGTGCAAATTTTAAAATAGGGTCTCTGCAGTTGCCAGATTATGAACTTGACAGTCATTTTCTGTTAAAACTTTGCTAGCAGAACTTACCCACTGGATTGCTCAGTACAAATCAGAGCTGTGTAGCTGTGAAGAAATCGTGTGGTAAAGGCAACTTTCAGTTTTAAAGCTGATTATCAGTGCAGTCTGGCAGCTAATGAAAGTCCTCTCAACTTTCCTATTGTATGTGTGGTCATGGGATACCGCTTGTTAAGTAGGTAAAGAGTTATATATTTTAGTGTCAGAGAAACACACACGAGGAGGGGGCCTCAAGAGATTATCCAGCCCATACCCCTGCAAAAAGAGGGAGAATCAATTTTGTTAGACTGTCCCAGCTGATGAAAAAAAACCCTGGATGTTTTGCCAAGCTTGTTCTTGACCCCAAAGGGTCTAGACTAATAAAGTTAACCTGCTGTTCCTTCACATCTCGTTTGATTATCTTCTGAATAATACTTTACTTACTTAATTTTCCAAAAACCCTCGGTGAGCTATAGAATCTTGAAGAACGTTTCAGTCTTTTCTGGGAAATTCAGGACCAGCCTACTCTACATAAAACAATTCTTTCAGGTAATTACATAGGTTCCTGGGAAAAAATGATATCTAACATTACTACAGATTGGTTGATTAGAGATACTGGAGTAAGGAGAGGCACTGAAGGAACTGGAAGAGGAATATCCTGCAATTGCTTTTGAGGCCACAAAAACAGCTACAGGACAGGAAGAATGTCACATGAAAGCACGTCTCCTCCAGACAAAATCTATCCAGATGACAAAAGAAATTTAAAATAAATGTTTATGCCACAGGAAACAACAGGAAAACAGGAACTATCCTGCGTAACGTCAAGGAAGTAAATGCATGCTTTAGAAGAAGGCTCTAATTACAGCTTTTTAGCTATTTGCAGTCTCTTTAAGCTTATTATGTTTCAGAAGCAGAAGAGGAATGTATTGTCAATGCAAAATGTACGCTGCATCTAGGCTTTTTTTCTTTTTTTGCCCTCTGTATTTCTTCAGAATCTGCCAACAGCTGCCCAGGATGTCTACAAATAAAGCAGTGTTTCCTGGTATCCTTATCCAAGTTGGGCATTTTGAATAGCTTTCAGATGCACTGCTTGGATGTGTTTTAAGTACCTTCAGCCATAGCTATACCCCAAACTTTCAGTGCTTCTTTAGTGCTATGTTCCAATGGAAGTCTGGACTCCCACTGTGTTCAGGAATGGAATGCTGCTCCTCTATCATTAAATTCCTGCTATATGCAACCACTTTTACTGTACATTACTATATCAGTGCCTGCCTAGCTTTTTTTGTCAGCACCATATCTGAGCAGGCTATTTATTTTAAAGGCCCCCAAAAGATAACCGTAGCAGTTTTTCCATGGTATTTGGAAAGGACCCACAGGCCTAACTCCCATCAAAATGATTTCAAAGTAGACACCCATGTCTAGACAGCTTAGATGCCAAAGTATTGTTTGCTATAAATTAAGCTTTTCTAAAGGCCTACAGGCAGACAAGGTTCCTGAAGGCTGTCTCTCCCTGACTGTTCTGTTCACTTCAGCTTTAATCATGGGTTTCTACTGACAGGTTCATCATTCCAGTATGGACTAACTTTTGGAAGCTATCACAGCCTAGGATGGGACAGTCCATTAGCTGTGACCAGAAGTTGTCACAGCCTAGGGTGGGACAGTCCATTAGCCGTGACCAATGTTACCGATGCCAAACTTAGTAAAAAACAAAATCCTGTGGTACTAAGAATTTGGTTGATAATTTTAGGACTACTTGAATACTTTTTCTCATTTTTTTGAAGTATATTTTCAGGTATATTTTGCTGCAGCAGTCAAGTCCCAAAATCACTATTTAACCTTGGCCAGATAAATATCAAATAGAGTGAGGTGAATTGCATTAGCCAGGTTCAGACAAAAAAGAAAAAAGAAAAAAGAAAAAA